ATAGTAATTTTCTTAGTGATGATCCATCAATCTAAGCATTGGACCCAGATTGCTTTTTGTGGTTAATTAAGAAATTTTAAATTCCATTGTTTATAATCAATAATCTCTTATATGAGTCTACATCGCAAATGTCATTATATTTGTATTCCAAAGCTTTATGTGACCTAAAAGAAAAAAACCCCTTGCCAATTTATGTATAGACATGAATTAAGATTTTAGAAACAGGGCTAATTGGTGGTTAACTGGTGTTTAAACCTCACAAACCCCCACGTTCCTCTTTATCCCATTCTCAGTCTTACCTCAAAATCAATTATTCAGAAAGTTCCTATGAAATTAAAGAAAAAAATCTTTTCTAGCCCTTGGTGTACCCACAAGATTTGCCATTAACATTTAAGTGTATGCCTTTATTAGGTCAAAGGGAAAAATAAAAGAATGTGGGCAAACAAGGTGACAAGAAAGGTACAATGAAATTAATTTCCACTCTACAGGAAGCCAATGTAAAGAAAGAAGTCTCTGCTGGCAACAGTAGATAACAGTAAGTAAAGCAGTAAGCAAGCCAATCCTTGTTTTTACAGATTATTTAAAAAGAAAAAGGAAAAGAAAAAAGAAACAAAAAACCCAACACTGGGCACAACTAGATAATAGCTTTCCTACAGAAACATTTATTAATGAGAAAAAGAAGTCATCAGTACTTATTTTCCTGGGAAGATTTTAAGATCTTAAGATACTCCAAACACTTGAAAGTTTCCTTCAAAATCTTCTCACTTTTAGGAAGGGAAGCAAAATCATTTCATAAATCACATTTACAACAGATGAGACTGTAGCACTTCTGTCTGCAATTCTGAAGAAGAAATCGTCTGGGGATAAAAGCACTAGGCCCATTCCAATTCTCTTCCTTTATATATAATCATTCTCAATATGTCTATGTCACAGCCCCTACTTAAGACCTTTTAATCAAGCACATAAAATCTAAGCATAAAATTCAAATTTCTGTCAGATCTTTAAAAGGTATGATCCATGATATGATCCAATTACGTAGCTACTACCACAATAGGTACATTTGCACCATGTGAAACTATTAATGTATAGGATGAGAGCTCCTAGAATAAATGCATGCATGTAACACCTTAGGGACTTTAAGCATAACTTTAAAATTTTCGTATGATTACAGAGATTATGGAATATTCAACATTAAAATATTTACTGACCACCTGCTATGATCTATGCTCTGTTCTGAGTGCAAGGGATACATCTGATCAGGTGATTTCTGGCTATGCCGTGTGTAACTACAGCAGTAACATTTTTATCAACTAGAAACATAATCACTTTTCCCCTATCCTCAAACGTATTCTTGACTGCTTTCCATAGTGAAATCACCCCCAAAACTCTATTATTAAAAGATATAAATGTATAGAAAAACAGTGAATTTTACAGTAAACACACCTGTAACTACAAAGATCCTACCCCTAACATTTTATCATTTTATTGTTTTAATCATGTATCTATCTATCCATCCCTCTATTCATCCATCTTTTTAAAAATAAATGTCAAAGTAAATTGTAGATATCAGTACACTTCCACCTAAATCCTTCACCATGCATATATCATTAACTAGAATTCAATATTTTATATTTTTCCTCTGAGGTGAAATGTACAATGAAATGCAGATATCGTAGTGTGGATCTTCTAAATACGAATAATAATCATTTTTGAATATTCTGAAAAGCCTAGTGAGTATGGAAAGCCTAGGGAGTGGGCATCTGTAATTAGGTAAAATTAGGCACTTTTTGACCTGGTTCTCCCTTCTTTCTCAGCTCCATCCCCCATAATCCCTGTCCTCATATTGCTGTTTTTGTTGGTGAAAATAGTCAAGTCTCACGATCTCATACGGTTCGACCCCACAGTCATACCATAATGCATGCTGCTCCTCACACATGTAACACACCTTCGCACATGAGCACACCTTGCCCAGGTGTCATCTCTGTGCCTGGAAGATACGCCCTGCCTTTTTCCTACTTTTTGTGCATCTTTTGTGCTCAGGCTTTATTTCGTCCTCTAATTCAGCTCCACAAATAAGTCTAGGTTAAAGTTTCATTCTATGTGTTCTCATAATATCTGCATTTAATAAAAATACTCATCACTGGGTATTCTGTCAATTTATTTGTCTGCTTCCCTCACCAGCCAGTCA